AATGAGTTAATATATATATAATTATAGTTAATAAGTATTTCTACTATGTTAATATAGATAATATTCTATAATATATTATAGTATACTGTAATATAGATATATATGATATAGTATAGGTAATATATATATATTATAAGTTATAATTAATACATATATATTCACAGCTCTATACTAAAGTAATATAATCAATATCAAATATTGGACATATATATATACTATCATAACACTTATATAGACTCATTATCACATATATCTATATATACTAATACTAAACATATATATATTATATAACTAACTCATACTTATACATTATAACTATAAATATAACACATTATACAAAGATCACATACTATCAACATCACACATATCTACGACATATACAATAATATTATATATATAATGAATTAGATAAATGATATATAATATGTAAATTTATATTATTATGTATATATATTATATAATATATAATTAAATTAATATATATTGAATATTAATATTATAACTAAGGGTATAGTATAATATATAATATATATTATTATTAATAATATTTAAGAAAGAATTGATATGTCATAAATAAGAATATTAAAATAGTTTATTAATATATTGTATGTATTAGATGTTATTAGAAACAGGCTATACCGAGAGTATAAATAGTACTATTATAGGTCATACTTATATATATATATGTATGTATAGACTACTGCAGTATATAAAATATATTCAGTATTAATATAGTGTCTAGTAAATCATAATAATATGATACTAAGTAGACCTATATCGTTTATGATATATAGAATGACTTAAGTGATATGAGTATAAAGTATATATTATGCTACTAAATCAATATAATATATATAGACTAATACTAATACTAGGATATCGTATAGCTAGACTCATATAGAAACCTTTAGTAGTTGAACGATGATATACATAGTTGTTAACTATACGGTGAGTATAACCTGTAAGATATACTATGTATTATATTTTGCGTATTATAATTATCACGTAGAATAGGAGTCATATTTATTTCTATAAATTTATGATTCTATTAGTAGCGCTAGAGTATATAATATATAGACATATATAATATGTAATAATAAACTCATAATTATATATCATATATATAACCATTAAATATATATAGTTCAAATCATGTATAAGACCTATATAATTAATGGTTTATGTTACATATTACCAGATAATGCTATGTTGTCTCAGTATGTGTAATTATTTAATTATGGATACTCTTTGATATATATGTATATTGTATTTAGATAGTATAAACAATAAAGCATTATATATTGGACCATAGGTCTAAAAATATATATATTGTTGTAATATAATTTTTATAAATATCACATCTGATTACAATCGATAATAAGTTACTAACTAAGTAATTAAGTATCAGCTTATCAATCACATATATCTCTATATATATCACAAAATATAAATAATATATGGGGTATATTTTTATATTATATGTATTAAAATATTATATATCTATAATAATTCGTATATAATTAATAGTTATATTTGATATTATATATAAACAACAGTACATAGTATGCATATAGGTAAGGGTAATATGTGATATTATGGATAGCGTGTATAATGCTATCACTTGTAAGGAAAACGGTGTAAAATAGCATAAATTTATCGATTTTTGGTCAATTTACTGTTTGACAGTAAATCTTGATCGCAATAATCTGTTAAAAAATACTTAACAATTTAACCGTTGGGGCGGTAAAGAATGTAGTGAGAAGGCTTTTATGTGTATATATAGTTTTTGTGTAATTAATATATTTATTATATAGAGTTATGACATGATAACTCTCAGTATACGATATTACTTGTGTAAATTTAATGCAGTGAATATTTGTTTATGATATATATCAGTGTGTTACAATAAATTAGAATTATCGATAGTTTTTATCACTTATCGATTTTAAAATATGCTAATAATCTCATAACTTTACATATATACTATATTTAGTATTTTCTGTGGGATGTATGCATATTAGTTAATTATACAGTTATATTTCTATCATTACATATGATATTATATTATATATATTAACATATACTAATATATTATTAATATATTATATATATGATTATATATATTAATAGTCTAGTTAACTAATAAATATTATATAATATATATATGTATATAATATATATGAATACATGTATATATATATGTAATATATATAATTAATTTTATAATGTGGTATATTATTAATGTATATATATAAATGTGGAGATTATATATTACTATAAATAATGATATACATTTGATATACATGTATTATATATTACATATATTATTAATATATAAATATATATATATATAGTATATATAAGTATAATATATACTCATACATATATAAATATCTATATATATATATTATATAGTATATCATATATTATATATTATATATATCATATACTATATACACACATATACATATATATTACATATATATATATATATATATTTATTATTATAATATTTATTGATTATTTATTATAGTATAGTACTTATGCTAAATATAAATATTACCTATATACTATTTTAGTACAGGGATATAGATAAATATGAATCTCTACAAGATAAGAGTCATGTGAAGAAATTATATTATAATACGTTAATTGAGAAAAGAGTTGATAATGTCAGACACAGAAGTGCCAGTAGGAGGCTATAGGATTGAGATGTAGTACCTATAATGATAGCTTGCCGAGATTCAGTGAGAAGGTATAATTATGGTTTAGCAGATCGTAAAAACAGAAGGAACTAGTACTCATCTCTATATACATATTATATGTATATATACATACTCATGTTATATTACTAATTATAATCGCTATACACGAGAACGTATTACCAAAACACATACTTCACAGAGGTCGTAAAACTAGTATAACATATCTACATACGTAAGAGATATAATGATGCTCATCTAGATATCATAACGTTATATATATATATATATACGTTAGTCATTCATGAATCGTTGTACGTATTAATATATAATCAGCCATATGATACACTACGGGTATATCTATAAGCTATATAAAACATATACGATAGTCTCAAAATTAATACTTTTACACATAGTATTAGATAGTGTGTTATAAAGGTATACTACTTTATATTTTTCATTTTATATACTATTATATCACTTTTTATATATATGGTAGGATAATAGTCAAATTATGAGAATATATATGATATGCTAATGGTAACAACAATATCAATGATTTAGAGTATGAAGTAGCGTATATATTATAGTTAAATATAATCTACTATAGATGTATATATATAAGAAATAATAAATTATATAAATATGACTAATGTAATAAATATATAATAGTATATAGTAGAAATTGTAGCTATACTTTATATATATATATCGCCTATAATTAGTATACTAAATTAAGTAGATAGTGAAGGGATACGATAGTATAGGAGGAGAAGTAAAGACGAGATAGGCTTATTATATATATGGTTAGATAATGGATATATAATAAGTCTTAACTCTCATATAAATACGTTTAATTTATCAGATGATAATTTTAAAGTATCAAGATATGTATAGATAAAATATACTATTATTCATATTAAAAAATGATATAAATTCTTGTATGTATCTGGTATAGTCATATTTATAGTGTATATACGTGAGAAATCTATGTGTATAGTATATGTAGATTAAATTTGTAGTATATCTAGATATTCTAATCATATTGATTATTTTCCCTTATGCAATAATCACATGATAATAAATGTTCAGATAACAAAGATTAGCATATAGAAAACACACTCTGAATCCCTAATGTAAATTCCTGTTAGCAGTGGATTCCACTTCCTGAGGAATAATGAGTAAGAATAATGTTTAACTGGATTTAATTTATTTTATTTTATAATAAATATAAAAATTCTATGTGTATATATATCTGTGTGATAGCAAATATAATATATATGATATGTGTATAATAGTTTTAATTGATATTATATTTATGATTTTTTAATTTTTATATTATTAAGTAAATTGATATATAATATATCCATATATATTTAGTGTATAATGAGATAATATATATATATAAAAGTATAGACAATTTGGAATATTATAGAATAAATATAAATATGAGAATATGAGGTATATATTATTAATATAGTGTACTACTATATATGTTCTATATATATATGGTATATTATGATCTATAGATACTACGATATCTATTCTACTAAATATAATAATATATTATATAGAGGTAGAGGATGATAGAGATGAGGAATGTGGAATAGAGAGAGAGAGAGAGAGGATGGGAGAGAGAGAGAGGAGAGATAGAGAGATGGAGAGAGAGAGATTGAATATATTTATAAATATAATATATAAAACATAATATAAGTATATATATATATATATATATATTAATTATTATAATAGTATATAATATTATATATATTATTATTAATATAATATATATATATTATAATAGTATTTATTTAGTGAAGATATGTGTATTGAGAGAAAGTACAGAGAGATAGTGAGTTATAGAGGTGGAGTATAGAGAGATGAGAGTAAGATGAGATGATAGAGGAGTAATAGTAAGTAGATAGTAAGAGAGAGAGAGAGAGAGTAATGATAGAGACACGAAATAAGTATATATATGTAATAGTGAATGATATATGAGGAGATCTATATAAATATATAGTTATAGAAAATATATATCGTATATGAATATGTATAATAAATATACGTATAAGGATATGTGGTGTTATATATATATATATAGTAAGAATATATATAAAGGTAATACGTATATAGGAGAAGAGATGAGAGAGAGAGATGAGAGAGAGAGAGAGAAGAGAGAAGAGAGAAGAGAGAAGAGAGAGAGAGAAAGCATAGCTATAGATATACAAATAGGTATCAGGAATTAACATTAACATTAGTGTTAACGCTCTGTGATTGGCCGATTTTTTCCGAACTAACGCTGATTGGTCGGTCCAGCCGTTCTTTTAGGTTGTTTTCGCCCATCTTCCGAAATTGAGTTAAATGCATTATCAAGGAGTTCCTCGGCCCCCGTTCTCCCTAGAAAATTGAAGAGCCGACCGTTTTTTAGGTGGTAGCAACCATTTTCGATCTCAACTGAAATATTTTTTTCACGCTACCCAGAAAATCAGTAATTGTGACGTAATGATTAAAGATAATAAAAAAAATTAGATTTTCTGAAAGCTTATTACATTTCATATAAGATTAGACCAACCTTCCTTTCGGAATAATTTTTAAGAATCTGGCAAGCGTCCAAAAAGCGATAATGAAGATTTTTTTCATACAAATAAATAAACATATGCTGTTCATATGGATTATTTTCTTTTCTTTATGTTTTCATCATAAATAGTTTGATCTATGAGCAAAACATTTCGAAAATGTAAACCTTCGCCTCCCCCCCCGAAAAAAATGGGGGGTAGGATTGCTAAATGATCCGGATCACCACCAAAATTTTATTGAATATTAATTAGGCCAAGAGAATTAGGCTAAGAGAAATTTATTAAAACCCGTTCTTAACCTGTCGAGTTCGGAAAAAAAATCATCATCACCAAAGTGCAATAAGCGTCTAAGTTAGGTTGAAACACATCTTTGGTTAAAATCTCATTAAATTGTGTTCATAACTTTTACAAATATCACAAAACACAAACAAACAATTAATCAACAAAGAAACAAAGAAACAAACATAAATAACAATATAAATAACAAAAGGTCATGTGGTACACGAAAATGATCTATATGTGCTTATATACCTTATATACATACTTTTACATCGCCATGTAATTGCTTTTCGTCTTTCCACGGGGCCTGAGTGTGAAAATTAGCCCCGTGGCCCCGTAGAGTTAAACACCAGTATTCTGCAGATGTAAAGAAACCCATTTCATGGTCCACAACGCACGGCCACACTGAGAAAAGGACACGTATGATTTTTCCGAGCAGTATTATACATTGTAAAACCCTATTAGAGCAACAACAATAGGTAAATAATAGATAATTATATAATATACAAGTATTTCGTGCATTTGTCTTGTACAATATATAAATAATGAAAAGGAAAAAGATCGCGATTATTAGGTCCTTCACATTTTTACACATAGCACACGTATTTTCAGTCCGATTTTAACGTATTATTGTAGCTGAATAATAAATCTATTACATGATCCAATAAGGATTTGCAGTATTTTCATGTGCTTCATATAAAAGTGACATATATTCTCAGTATCTCTTTTTAGGGTGTCGAGATAGTGGGCTTCGGAAAATATTCACAAAAAGGGTTGATTTCTAAAAAATGATTTCTGCATATTATAGTGAAAGGGTTTTTTATTATTATTTTTTTTAGATAAATTAAAAAGGGGTCAATGTAGGACTATAGACATGAAAAATTACTGCCACTCTGCTACACTATACGGAAGATTTTGAGAAACACTTACGTGCTGGCAATGTCCGGAACACTTCGGAATGTCCGAACACTTCGGATGCAGGTAGATGATAGACAATTATGGTTTAGGAAGATTATGCTTCTCCCTTCAAATTTTCATACCATAAGGATTATATGATATTATTATATACATATATAAATATATATATATTATATATATATATATATATATATATATATATATATATATATATATATATATATTATATAAACTTCAACGACCGTTATTTCCGAAGTATACTTATTTTTTTCATGCAAGGTACAGGACACATATTTAGTCCAAATAAACGTATTATGGCTTTTTTTGTAGACAAATAGTGTGGCTAGAGAATGTTGAGAGCGGAATTTTCGATTTCTTCCTGTTTCTTGTAAAATTGATATAAAAGTGACGAAAACCGTTGTCTTTCGGATACCTGCCAGTCGACTCGGTAAAATCTTCCCCCCGAAATTGAAAAAAGTGCTCCCAACATTCCCTAGGTAAAGGATTGAAATAACAAAACAATTAGAATGACTGCAATTTTTTCCTTTTATTCTTTGAAAAATGGCCTTTTTTCTTCTTTTTTTTTTTTTTACTATAGTTTCATCAAAATCGGCAAGGAAAATCGAAAAATCGAAAAAAACACGATCCCCTTTAGGAAATAAAGCCCTATCATACATGGGTCGTATTGTCGCTAGTTGAGAAATCGTTGATACTTATCGTAACTGTTGCAAGAGACAGTTTTTACGAGAGTTTAGTAATTCCGGCCCCTGGGACCGGATTTACTAACGCATTTACGAGATCGTTAAGGGTTTGTTTATATCGTAAAACAAGCTACTCACTCGTTTCTCGCAACGAGCATATTTTCAAAACACATCAGCGGTCGTAAATTAACAGACTTAAGCGAGAGCCGAAACCACTCGTAACGACACAAGGTATCCACCTCGACTCATTCCAGCATTATAGATAATTTTAAGAGCAAGAAAATGTGCTTTTTCTGTTGGGAAGTAAATTAATGAATGAGAAACACACTTAGGAAACAATAAAAAAAAAAAAAAATCCATAGGATTAATATTACGAGGATGGCCTTTGTCAAAGCCCCAGCCTTAGATTCACGTGATATAGGCCTTGTGTAAATGACTCGCTAGTTTCAGTGTGTGTGAAAAAATATGTATCTACCTATCTCTCTCTCTCTCTCTCTCTCTCTCTCTCTCTCTCTTCTCTCTTTCTCTTTCTCTTCTCTTTCTCTTTCTCTTTCTCTCTTTCTCTTTCTCTTTCTTTCTCTTTCTCTTTCTCTTTCTCTCTCTTCTCTTTTCTTTCTCTTTCTTCTCTTTCTCTTTCTCTTCTTTCTCTTTCTCTTTCTCTTTCTCTTTCTCTTCTCTTCTCTTTCTCTTTCTCTCTCTTTTCTCTTTCTCTTTCTCTCTCTCTCTCTCTCTCTCTCTCTATATATATATATTATATGTATGTATACATATATGTGTGTGTGTGTGTGTGTGTGTGTGTGTGTGTGTGTGTGTGTGTGTGTGTGTGTGTGTGTGTGTGTGTACATTTATATATACTTACAAATATACATATATACTTATATATACAGATACATACATGTAAGTGTATATATATAATATATATATATATATATATATATATATATATATATATATATACACATATATATAAGTGTATATATATGTATATATATATATATATATATATATATATATATATATATATATATATATAAGTGTATATATTATATATAATATATATATAATATATATATAAATATATATAAAGATATATATCTATAAATTGATATTCCGAAAACTATCAATTACTGTTGTAGAAAATACAGCATTCACTGAACGTTTTTACCAAATATTTATAAATATAAATATATAAATATATATATTTATCTATCTATCTATCTATAATGTGACCCTAAGAATTCAGCAATTTTCATATCATGTGATATGATGGTATAAAATATATATATATATTTATTTTCTGCAGGTGATTTTGGTTATCCATTAGAACTATATATATCATGACTTCTATGCATGAACTCCAAATTCAAGCTGAGATATCAGGCTGGAAGATAGGAGTTACATTCAGACGCGCATGGTGGAGGAGCAGATGTTTGGCGTGTTAAAATCAAGGTTCCTGCCTGCGAACTTCGGGTAATGCTCTACAATATGCACCAGAGAGGTGTTCTAAAATTGTATTTGCATGTGACCTCCTGCACAACTACTGCAGAGACCGGAGGCTCCCACTACATGATGAAATGCTTAGGAATGAGTTTGCTGTAATAGGGCGGGCCATACTAAAAAAAATGTAAATCAATTGTGAGGGGTGTTCAGATCATGTATTTTGGTGTGTAGAAGACAAATCTGGATTCAATTTTTAATTCTGATAACCCTAACCTACATCAATTTGCAACTGATTATTGTTATTTTTTGTATTATTTTTCTATTCTTCTGGAATGAACCTAAATTTATTTGCTATACCAGCTATCTCAGTAGTAATAAAATGGCTGATTTACAGAGGTTTATCAGGTGAGACATCAATTTTTATGTGATTTAGGGTTTTCTCCAGCCCAAAAGAGCCCTCTGACATCTCTCCCTCATATACAGCAAGTAAGTTAACTGTTTGTGTGCAGAGCTAATGCACAGAGCAATATCATCTTCATGTGGAAACGCGGCTACTCATTCACATCGCGGAGCGAGTGAGAATTTCAGAACAAGGACAAAATCAAGGTCTCATTTGAGTTTTCTTCTTGGCACTGGGCAACTGCGAGGAATATCCTTAGATATGGCATCTACTTGAGGGAGCAAAGTGAAGATGACCGGAAGAACTACCCAGTGGATCAGCTGGTTGGTGACATCTACCCTGCTCTGATTGGTCAGTAAATTAAAGCTAATGCTCTTTCCAAGCCACCTGTTATCAATGGAAAGGTGACCATCATATCCAAACTCAAGGAGGTCTGGGATCAGACAGTGTAGTTATCTCTTGGGGAAGGCAAACTTGATGCAAAAGAGAGGTTCATGGTCAAGTTAGACAAGTTATTTGATATACTGACGTAAGGCGACCATCTGCTTTGTTTTAGATTTTTCGATTTTTCTTGCCGATTTTGATGAAACTCACACACTTTTATTTGGGCTCCTTCCCATTGCCTGTGGTCGATTTTTTTTTTTTTTTTTCGAAATCGCCCGAACAGGTTTTGAATTATTGTCAAAAAACGAAAAAAGGAGAAAGTCGCCATGTTGAAAATGCAGCACCTGGGTAAAAGGACTCCGACTTCAGAAACGGCTAGACATTCAATTTTATTTGATTTTTGCACAGAACTACCTTATATCTACAACTTGTTCAGGAGCGTTTTTTTTCGATTTCGACTTCAAATATTTTTTGTAAATTTTTGAAGTAGGGGACTTCAAGAAAAAAAAAAGGTAAACATATTCATACATTGACCACTTTTACAAGTACAGACAAAAATTGCGAAAACGCTCTCGAACAAGTTGCAGATATTTTATTTTTCTACAAAATGAGCCATAATATGTCAATTTTGGACATATGTTGTGC